AAAAAAAAAAAAAAAAAAAAAAAAAAAAAAAAAAAAAAAAAGTTGTGGAACCAGCTGGTGGTGGTTGTGCAACCTAAGTCCCAGCACCCAGGAAGCAGAGGCAGATCTCTGAGTTTGAGGCCTACTCAAACTGGTCTACAAAGCAAATTCCAGGACAGCCGGGGCTACACAGAGAAACCTTGTTTTGAAAAACAAACAAAAAAGTTGTGAGGCCACTCAGCAAGAAAGGAGTCACACTTGGTAAGGAAACTTAGCCAATTACATAGGCCTAATAAGGTATAGATCTGAAAGGAAAGTCTACACACAGCATGTCCTTAATGACGTTCTAAATTATCTGTCCTTAAACCCACAGGTACCCATAGTCCTAACTCCTCATTGAGGAGGCTTCTCTTTGCAACAAATGGAGACTGCTGCATAAAGTTGCATTTGATCAGAATGCAGAGTTGTGGTGTCCAGTCTCCATGGATACATCTGCAAAACACTCCTAAGGCTCAGGGGATATTGCAAAACACGGGGTGGAAAGATCGTAAGGGCCACACAGATGATCAGAGAGTTTGCTGTGAGATTGTGTCTCCTAGAAATTTCAAAACCTGTACCCATAGAGTCTCACCAGCACAATTACCTAAGCATGAACAGAACAAGGACCCCAAAAGACACACTAGTGGGGAAGGGAAAGAGCCGTTGAGGCCTCAGCCAGAGACAATGAACCAGGAACTAAGGAATCCAGATATCAGGAGAAATCGTCTTAAAAGAGAGCAAGGAGGGGTGTATAAGGTTTGGAGAGGGGAAAGGGGAAGTGACATAATTACAGTATACGCTTCTGGTATTTACCAATTCTTCTGGACCAGGATCTGCCCCTCTCACCTTTGCCCATACTGACAAACTGTATTTTCCCTTGTGATTCCAGATCATTCTGCCATATCTCCTTGTCCTAACGTTTCTGCCCTAGACCTATAGATTAAATAAGAGAGGTTCTCAGTATCTTTTGAAGAAGGTTAAGGCAGAAGAAAGCTGGCAGTGTCTGGTAGGAAACCTCTGAACTGTGCTATATGGACACAGACAGACAGACAGACGTCAGACTCACTCAGCAACTTCTGTTTTTCGATTTTCCCGAGTTCAGCATGAAACAAATAAAACACGTTCAGATACTCCCTGAGTCTAACCAGAACCAAGAACTGGGCTTCTTGGATTTACTCATAACATTAGTTCCCAAATTAGAGGAAGAACACGCCATCATTTCCTAAGTCTGACACAGCCAGGTATGAGGATGCTAGCCTGCCATCTCAGCACTTGGGAGGCTGAGGCAGGAGGATAATGAGTTCAAGATTATGTGTAGCCTGTGCTGCACCTCGAGACTCTGGCTCAAAATGAAAGTATCACACGTTGCAAACGATCATTATGGCACAAAGTTTTCTCTGGACTGTTGCTCTCTTCTGGCAGGCAGGAGGACAGCCACCAGGCTCCTACCTTCCATCAAGTGTCACTGCTCTCTGTTCCCAGATGTGCCCTTAGCCCCCGAGAGCAATTATAAGAGTAAACTAGAGGAGTAAGTCTCTTCGGACGCACAGCCAAAATTGCAAGCAGCAAGATCTGTGAGCAGAAGAGTTTCACACTACCTCCAGCCATGAGACTCAAAACCCTCGGACCCTTCTATTTCTGTATACAAGGCGAACGTACTATTTAAGTTGTTTCTCTTTAAATCTATCAAAAGTAAGAGTGTCTGCTCCCCTGAGACTGCTCAGAGGGGAAAGGGCACTTGTCACTAAGCCTGACAACCTGTTTGATCCCTGAGGATCACATGCTGCAAGAGGCAAGGAGAACACATTGTCCTCTGACTTACACGACATGGGCATGCATGCGTGTACACACATCTATATCAGAGAGAGGAGGTGGAGGGACAGGGGGAGCAGAGGGAGGGAAAGAGAATTATTTTTCAAATGGTAGGGGTTTTTAAGATTTTATTTTTATTTATTTATTTATTTTGGTTTTTTTGGTTTTTCGAGACAGGGTTTCTCTGTGTAGCCCTGGCTGTCCTGGAACTGACTCTGTAGATCAGGCTAGCCTTGAACTCAGAAATCTGCCTGCCTCTGCCTCCCAAATGCTGGGATTAAAGGCGTGCGCCACCACCGCCCGGCTCAGATTTTATTTTATATATGTGAGTACAGTTTTATTTATTTTATACATGTGAGTACACTGTTGTCTTCAGACACACCAAAAGAGGGCACCAGATCCCATTACAGATTATTGTGAGCCACCATGTGGTTGCTGAACTCAAGACCTCTGGAAGAGCAGTCAGTGCTCTTAACTGCTGAGCCATCTCTCCAGCCCCTTAATAGGTAGGTTCTAAGATGAAGAAAAAAAAAAACCTTTAAAAAGTGGCATAAACTGGCAACAAAAATTTAGAACAGTATTTATTTTAAAATATTTTAAAAATAAAATCTTAGCTGGGTGGTGGTGGCGCACGCCTTTAATCCCAGCACTTGGGAGGCCGAGGCAGGTGGATTTCTGAGTTCGAGGCCAGCCTGGTCTACAGAGTAAGTTCTAGGACAGCCAGGGCTACACAGAGAAACCCTGTCTCAAAAAACAAAAAAAAAAAAAAAAAAAAAAAAAAAGAATAAAATCTTAGTCAAACAAAAAAAAAAAAGAGAACCAACAAATTTAAAAAGGTACAAAAATAAAATATCAATGTAAAAACATAAATAAAAATTGGGCTTGGCAGCACTTGTGGCACTCAGAGGGGACGGATACCACAAGTTCAAGCCCAGCTCTGGTCAACTTAGAAAGTTACAGGACAGCCAGGCGGTATTGGCACAAGCAGAGGCAGGAGGATCTCTGTGAGTTCCAGGTCAGCCAGTTTTACAAAGCAAGTCCAGGAGAGCCCAAGCTGGTTACACAGAGAAACCCTGTCTTGAAAATCAATCAATCAACACCAAAAACCAAGACATACACAGACACACACTCACACACTACACACACAGACACACACACTACACACACAGACACACACACTACACACACACTACATACACAGACACACAGACACATAC